AAATATAATTTTCAGGACAATAAATATGCAACACGTGGAATTCGTTACAACTTGCATTGTTGAACTAGTTTGGTAGTACTTCGTTAGAGGGCTGGCCAATGCCTTAAGTGCAGCTTGACTGTCACTGCAGACACGTAAACTCCTTCCCCTCGACCTATTATCCACCACGTAGGCCATGCCCTTGAGGATTGCAAATTCCTCAGCCTGGAACACCGAAGCATGCTCCCCAAGAAAAAAGTAAAGCTCATCCATATTAACTTCGAAAAACCCCCAGATCCTGATCCATCGTCAGTTTTGGAGCCATAAGTGAAGATTCGTGTTGCAGTGTTGGAATTAAACCAGCATTCAGCCTCAGGGAAACCAACTTCCTGTGGGCCACGGTTGCCACTTCATAAAAATTTTGTGTTTAATGTTTCAGGTCCAAAATAAAATAAAATGTACAATTTTTTGCCGTCCAACGAAAAAAAATTTTTTATAATATTAAACGTTAACAAAAATTGCAATAATTTTTTTTTTCATTATTTACACAGGTTTACAAAACAAAAGTTTCTGCATATTGAACCAAACCTGTATATCCCTATGGTATTGGTCGCCCTGAATACGAATCTGAGGTCTGTTAGTCACCATCAGATCAGGTTCGAGGCCATTTGAAGGTCAAGTAGTGAAAAATTTGTTGAAAAACCTGAAAATTCAATACAATTCTTCTGAATTTGACCTTGAGACGACCTTGGAATGGCCTCTAGATAACTTTGAAGAATTAAGGGGCCCCATATTCGGATTCAACGACAACAGAAACCTATGTATATGACTTTATTTTTTTCAGACCTCGGATTCACATTCAGCGCGTCGAATACCATAAGAATATAGAGGCTATAACTCTCGTCAAGAAACACAGCGGTATCGAGTCCTGCATAATTCCAACGGACGAATAGCCATAGTTGCTTCAAAGAGGCCCAAAACAAACAAAGAAGTGCTAAGGCCCAAGCGGAGAAAAAAGGCCCATATTTGGTACAATTGTACCAAAGTGGCAACCGTGCCTGTGGCATTGAAATGACTCATGGGCTCAGATCTCAGTGTTATACCCACATCCGTTTCTTTTTACTCTGCAGGTGGTCTTTAAGGCTTCCCCACGTATGAAGACACAAAGTGACTGTAAATGCAGCAGTGGGTCAAGAGCACTATACACTACTCAAAAAAATTAAGAGAGGTTTTAAAAATAGGAAATTAAAGCTTAATAAAAAGGCTATCTGATCCATACGCCAACCTAAATGAACAACATTTTTTCAACCCCGTAGACAAAAAAAAACCAGATTAGCAAAAGTATTTTTTCGCGCTATCCGTAATCTTGACATTACATGAGAACCATAGCTCAAAAAATGTGTACTCAA